TACTTATAATTTATCAACGCCGAGCATAATTTCTCAACGTCGATACCAGCTTCGTATCTCATGGCCTACTTATAATTTATGCTCGTCGGAGCTGGCGACGGAGATTGGCGGAGGAATTTTTACCGGAGCTATTCGAAATTCAACTCTCTGAATACAATCACATTTCCTTTTTCCTCTCTAGGATTTCAGTCCTAGAGATGCCAATTCCTTGAATTGTAAAACTGTAAAAAATTATCTTATCAATTTGGTGTCGGCGTCGGTGGCGGTGTAATAGTGGCAAACAAGAAAAAGGACTCGAATTGAGCTGATATAATACATATGGCTTTCATTGTATTTCAATGTATCTCGCTGTATTCTATGTATTTCATTGTCTTTTTTTTTCATTGTATTTCAATGTATCTCACTGTATTGTATTTCATTGTATTCACTGTCTCGCTATATTCCATGAATGTATTCATATGTTTTTTTTAATGAATATAATTTATGTATTCAGATGTATTTATGTATTCAGATTTATAATTGAGTTTGTTGAGTTATATTAGGAGTCTATTTGTGTTAATTGATTCATTTTCCGTTTAAAAACAGCTGAATAGACCACGATTTACGCTATTTACGTTATTGTATTCACAAATACATATCGTGAATACAGTCGAATACAATAATTGCCTAGCTGTACTCCCCTGATTCACGCCGAGTTTTGAAATACATCGAATACACTCTAGCAAAACTGAAAACATAGATATAGGAAGTAATATAGTAAATGGTAGCTACAACTAGCTAATAACCACTAAACAATAGTGGTTTGTGAAAATTTCTCTATAGAATATTATATAGAAAAAAAATTCTAAAAATATTGATACATTTTATACAAATAATTAAAGAACATATCTTTTGGATGAAGTAAAAAATGTAATAATCAAAATTTTATATTAAAAATAAAATATAAAAAAAGTATAATTGCTCATCCCATATAATATAGAAAAAATTAATCAAAATATTGAGACATTTTATAATTAAAAAAAAATATTGGGCGAAGTAAGAAATCTATATTATCTTTGGTATATTAAAGGAGATATCTATATATTATATATTATCTATACAATAAAATAAGAGGCAAAGTATTAAGCCAAGTGACAGCATAATAAAAAGCCACTTAGCAATTTTAGGACACAAAGATTGTTATTCATAAGATTAAGCTAAGTGTTAAGATACTACAAAATATTCTCCGTGCAACGTGCAAGTATAAATACTAGTGCATTTAAAGAAGAAAAGATAACACCAATGCCCAAACATCTCGAGAAGTTGACAGATGGCAGCATCTTACAATCACTGCCTTCATAGGCGGATACATAATTTAAATTTTATGGGTTCAAATCAATTATATTTTTAAAGTTATGGGTTTATATATACTATTTGTTATAATTTTAATATTTTTTCACATAAATTTATACCCCGTACGGAAAATACTGGATTCAGTTGAACCCGATACCAAATGGCTTGATCCGCCCCTAACTACCTTCTTGATGTCATTCTGAATCATGTTTCTTTTTGTGTTTAGCACTTCTAAATCTTTGTGCGAGTGATTTTCTTTGCGAACCTCGCCCAGACTTATAGAAATCGACACGATGTTTCTCGGAAGACTTCTTATTAATTTCCTTTTCAGTTTCGTCTACTTCTCCTTTCATTGTTTGAAACATGGTGAAAATGTCCTGAGAACTCCTGGCATTTTCCACCTTTAGCATCCATGACCGCTTTCAGAAATTAGTTTCCTCCACCTTCATTCGAGGTATGATAATGAATGAAAGAAAGCTTATGGTCGCAAAAAATAGAGGAACAAATTTCAAACCAGAAAATGTAGTAGTGGAAATCTTATTATCCCAACGAATTTCAATGGAAAAGAATAGAAAAACAAATTTCAATGGCAAAAATGTAGTAATGAAAATCTTATGATCGCAACGAATTTCAATTGAAAAGAATAAAGGAAAATACAATGCAAAGTCCTATTTGGTTTACTATTTGAAAATCAAAATCCTATACCCGTCAACTACCGTCTACTTCCTTAAGGGGTTGTTTGGTTTAACTCAAAGAATAAAACTTGGATAATACCGGCTATTTCCTTAAGGGGTATTCAGGTTTGACTCAAAGAATAAAGCTTGGATACTACCGAGTAAAACTTGAATACTACTGGGGTACTTCCTTAAGGGGTGTTCAGGTTTGACTCAAAGAATAAAACTTAGATACTACCGGTTACTTCTTTAAGGGTTATCTGGTTTTATTTTTTAAAGAACAAACTTGGATAATTACTAATATTAGTCTCAAGATACCCTATATTGATAAGAATAAATTTGTCCCAAAAAAAATTAACATTCAAATCATATATTGAGTCGCAAAATAAATATCAAGTAAAAATTCAAGTTCTTAAAAATGATAAATATTGATAAATAAAAAAAATTGACATACAATATATTCATTTATTTATGATCTTATCTAATAATATTTATTTAAGTTACAAATTAAGGTCAAGCCATACAAAATTTTATTATGAATTTGTAAATAGAATATCTTAAGATATTCGCAATATATAATATGATTCGTCATGGTTAGAACTTAGATATGTAGGAACAATAAAGATTGACAATTAATTTATTTACCCAGGAAGTAGTTATAATCGCAATTCTTTGGACGTCCTAGAAATAAAATTATGGTACTAAAATTCTAGAAAGAGAATAATATAAAGTATTTTTTTAATTTTAAAATCCTAAAAAATCAGAGTTCTTATATATGAATATTTTAATAACAAAATTTTAGTTGATTTTAAAGTCCTAAATATTAAAAAAATAACTTAAAAAGGCAAACAATATTTTGCTAAAAGGTTTCGTGCTTTTCATATAATACTATTAAAATTTGGCGATGATAATGAATGTTCAATCATATTGTATATTGCTTGCTCAAAGCTAGCTTATTACCTTAAAATGTCAATTTTAAAAGTACCAGCGTGTACTAGTTATTGTTAAAGTAACTAGAGACAATTTATTACTTTTTGTATGTGTGTACATGAGATATTATGTCATAAGTGATTAATTTATAAAATAACTAAACCAATGAACAAACTTAAATTGGCTGGAAGCATATTCCATGCAACTTGGATTTAATAAAAAAGAATTTAGTTGGTTTAATATCCTAAGTGTCAGAGAATTTCAGTTCAAATAAAGAAATGCTTTATGTAATGAAAACTCGTATTTGATTTTAAGTCCTAAATTTTAGAACTTCCTACGTAATTTTTGTTAGTTTAAATTATATTTTAGGAATTATCATGGTATTATCCAAATTAACTTTACAACTAATATAATGTTATGGTTTATGTCTCTTAGCGTTTTGATGTTTTAGATGGTTCGTCGTTTGGGTATACGGTTATATTTTTTTATTTCTTTTGAGAAATGATATATGTTAAGAATTTAAGATGTGGAACATTAATGGTCTTCTATTTAATTTATGGAAAATAAAAGGTTCTATCAAATAAATCTCAACATTTTTTTTCCGGCAAATAAATTTTAAACTTTTTAAAATTTTGTTAGCGAAAATATATGAACAACTATTGAACATTGTTGTTGCTAACATGGAAGTATATAAAATTATGTTACATTGCTATAATAAGAGAATGTAGTGTCTTAATTCATTTTAAATTTCTAAACATTTTACATAGTCAAATAAGAAAATATTTAATAAGCAAAATTTTTTCTATTTTGCCTAATAAGCAAAAGAACGCTCTTTAAGTACAAACATTATTCAAGAGGTCACAATTCAAACGGTAGTATCACGAATTAGAGCCAAGTTAAAACTTCTTTATACCCATATAAGCTATGTGAAGAAAAAATATTACTAAGCAACAACCAAATAAGAGATAAATCCTTCTTCCTATTGCTCCTTTACATGTTTACTCAATATTTTGTAATAGATTATAGCTACGGTAATTGTAATTTGTCAAACTTTTGCAGTGCATGATAAAAACTGATAGATCTAACATAAGCGTGACATTTGACTTCTCACTGATTTTTGCAATGGAATTCCACATGCATCTACCTAATCATGATTGCTTTTGGTTTATGGCCAGAGAGGTGCGCCACTTTGAACAATTTAAAACCCCATTTAGCCAGCATTCACATGAACTTTCTGAATCTCTTCTTTACTTTCCATTTTCTAATAAAGTTCTGCTCCCTGCGTCTCATATTAACAGTCGTGGTCTTTTTACCCTTAGTATTAATTGTTCTTTAATATGGAGATAACACATAAATAAAATAAATATTCAATGAAGAGAGATTATATTTTAAGACATAAATAAGAGTAGAATAGTCCAATCCCTTTCCTAATTAATATTTCTTAAGGGACGTATAAAAGAGAAACAAGCGTCGTGCTGTTAGGCGAAGTAGCCCGAATGCTGCACCCTAGATGGCGAAAGTCCAGTAGCCGAAAGCATCACTAGCTTATGCTCTGACCCGAGTAGCATGGGGCACGTGGAATCCCGTGTGAATCAGCAAGGACCACCTTGCAAGGCTAAATACTCCCGGGTGACCGATAGCGAAGTAGTACCGTGAGGGAAGGGCAAAAAGAACCCCCATCGGGGAGTGAAATAGAACATGAAACCGTAAGCTCCCAAGCAGTGGGAGGAGCCAGGGCTCTGACCGCGTGCCTGTTGAAGAATGAGCCGGCGACTCATAGGCAGTGGCTTGGTTAAGGGAACCCACCGGAGCCGTAGCGAAAGCGAGTAGCGGAGTAGAGAAATACGACACATAATATGAGACAGAGGGAGTAACTATCTTTTATATGTAAAATGAAATACACACAATCCAATCTATACTCAATTGAATAATCTCGTTTTTACTTTTATTTTTATTAATTCCAAAAGCTCTCAAGAAAAACTTTTTTTTTTTTTTGGTTCAAGTCTCGGAGATTGAAGAATAAATGGAACTCTCAATTCAAAGCTTCCAATTTCCCACTACAATGTGAAATTATGAGTCTCTACCTTTTCAAGACTTCACCTACCAAAAGGATATCATGAATCTTTATGCTATAAAAGAAAATGATCATCAACAATTTCTTCTCATCACATTCTTAGACCAACAACAATTTATTTCCAGTTTCATGATGATCCTTTATTTCTTCATAATTTTTTCAATTTTGAGAAATTGCAGTAGCCAATTACTACCACCTTTACCAGCACCTAACTTAACCTTCTTAGACCAAAGACTTGCTTTAATATTCCCAATAATACAAAATTTCAAGAACACAATCACTCTTGATCCTTTAGGTGTCACTCAATCTTGGACAGGCCCTAATATCTGCAATTACAAAGGATTTTACTGTGATAATCCACCTTATAATACCTCAGCCATTTCTCTTGCTTCTATAGATTTCAATGGATTTCAACTCACAGCTCCAACTTTAGATGGATTTATCGATCAACTTCCTGATTTAGCCATATTCCATGCAAATAGCAACAATTTCTCGGGCATAATTTCTTCAAAAATTACTCAACTTCCATATCTCTACGAGCTTGATCTTAGTAACAACAAATTCATCGGTACATTCCCTATGTCAATTCTCAATATCAAGACCCTAACGTTCTTGGATATTCGTTATAATTTCTTCACTGGAATAATCCCACCTCAGATTTTCACACAGAATCTTGATGCATTTTTTCTTAACAACAATAACTTCATACAAAAACTTCCTGACAACCTTGGATCTACCTCTGCTCTTTATTTAACCTTAGCCAACAACAAATTCATTGGTCCAATTCCACGTAGCATTGGACAGGCTCCAAATTTGTTGGAAATTTTATTCTTGAACAACTTGCTTACTGGTTGCATTCCTTATGAGTTAGGACTTCTAAAAAAAGCAATTGTGATTGACGTTGGATATAACATGTTAACTGGTCCATTGCCATGTTCTTTAGGGTGTTTGGAAAGTGTGGAGCAATTGAATTTTGCTGGAAATTTGCTCTATGGACAGGTTCCTGAGGTGGTCTGTTCACTAAAAAATTTGGTAAATTTTACTTTATCATATAATTATTTTACAAAAGTTGGGCCGTTATGTAGGGAGTTGATCAAGAAGGGAATACTTAATGTTGAGAAAAATTGCATTTTTGGTCTTCCTAATCAGAGATCAATACTTGAGTGTATAGTATTTAGGAGGCAAATTAGATTGTGTCCATTCCAGAAGAGTTATAGTATGATACCTTGTAAAAATCCGAAATTTAGCCCCTATAGATCACCTAGAGCAGAAAGACATTTGATTTCGTACTCTGCTTTGTCAAAACATACCAAGTTGTATTGAAGCCTTTGTTTTAGTATCTTTTGCTTTCTTCTGAAAACTCAATATGTAAATCTCTTTTGAACACTGAATAAGGAAAATAATATGTTGTTAACGTAGCAACTGTGCGTTAATGCTAAGGCAATGGACCTTACAACCAAGGGTTGTGATAAAATTTACATAATCCTCCACCCTTAACTAGAAGTTACGAGTTCGAGCCAAGAGAAGAGTCTCGAATCGAGCCATGAGAATAAAAAGGATTCTGGTTAGGGGTGGTCATATATCGGATAAAACCGATAACCCGAACCGTTAATTATTTATTGGGTTATCGGTATCGGGTTATTGGGTTAACGGTTCGGTAGCGGTTTAGAATTTTTTCACAACTGGGTTATCGGTTCGGGCCTCGGGTTGCCAATTTTGTTAATGGGTTAACCGATGACCCAATAAGAATTCATAAAATTACGACTTTACTCTTAAGTATATACATATGCTAGGGCTTCAGTTCATTCTTTCCTATTCTTTCTCAGCCGCACTCTTCAGTTGCTTCATCTTCATTATTCATAGACCTTACTAGTTACTCCTAGAGTAAGTCTTTAGTCTTATGCATTAGGCTTTTAATTTCTATAGCAAAATTCATCTTCATATTGGTATTTTTGACTGTTAATGATTCTTTATTTTTTTATTTTCATTTCTTAATTTTGTGAGCTCACTTTGTGCATCCTATAACAACTACCAATTTCTCTTCGCACTTATCAATTCTCAATCGATAATCTTCGTCAATTTCGGGTATATTTTTGAACATTATTCTTCTGTACAGTACGCTGAGCTTTGACAACAGGACAATATTTTCTTGCCTTCTAGGTGTTTTTCATTTCTGTGTTAGTATTGCCCATGCAAAGATCAAGGTTTTTCTCTATGGTTTCTTTTTTCAGGTTAGACATTTGACAAACAACATCAGTTTATCTTAGACTGTTAGTACTATTTGTTTTGACTTGTTAATTTTAAGGTGAAACTGCTACTACTTTGTATTATTATTAATGGATTTGGACAACTGTTGTTGAAGAATTAGTACTATTCCAGTTGTGGCCACTAGACAGAACGCAAAAATGGATAGTATACCATATGTGATTTCTTCTCTTTTTCTTAACTCTAGTGAATTGTCTTCTCTTTTTTGCTTAACTCTAGATTGAATTATCTTATTGGGTAAACCGATAACCGAACCGATAATGATGAATAATCGATTAACCGATAACCGATAATCGATATCTTATCGGTTCGATTATCGGTTTATCAAATTTGTAAACCGATAACCGATATGCTAACCGATAACATTTATAACCGAACCGAACCGACCGATGTCCACCTCTAATTCTGATAGGGAACTCGACTGCACAATAATCAGGGTCTCAAGCGGGTACCAAAAACTGACTGAAAAACCATTAAAAAAAAATAATCAATGGAGCTTGTGCGTTTTTCGGTTTGAGGAAATACAACCACATGATTTTGGCGTGCTATGGAAAGTGCTTATTGGTGGACATTAATTAGATATGTTGTTTATGTACCCTAATAATTAGGTATACATTTTTTCAATAGTATTTGCAAGAAAGTGCACTTCTAAGAATTTTCACAATAATTTCTTTGAACCATCAACCAGTTAGTCGGTGGTAGAGGTGTTTACCAATAAACCGTCCTCACTCCTCCTAACCGAGCACTTCATTTATTGTTCCATTTGGTAAATTAGTAGACGTATTATTTCTGAGTAGGGGTGTTTATGGTTCGGCTTGGATCGGTTTTTCACTAAAAAAAAATTAAACCAAGTAAGTCGGTTTTTTAAATATTAGAACCAAACCAAACCAATTAAGTCGGTTTTTTCTCGATTCGGTTTATGTCGGGTTTTGTCGTTTTTTCAGTTTTTTCGATTATTTGTCGATTTTTTCTTAAATATAAGACATACACTACCAAACACATATTTCGGCGACCACATTTTCAAGGTAACACTATCAATTCTACTGCCCTTTGAGAAATTTATTATTTACCAAGATATATTGATGATAATTGAATCAAATAGTGATGAATAATTTAAGGACTCAATTAAAAATATATTATTTTTAACATGAAATGGATTCTTACACTTAACAAAAGAAAACTACCAATCAAACTAGAATGTAAAGGTAAAGAACTGTACAAAAAGTGCAAACGATTAACATTTACCATAAAATTTTTGAAACTTTGTATAAAAATATACATATATATAGGTATAATAATAAATTTAAAATAGCTACTCCTATAGTCGGTTTGGTTCGGTTTTTTCAGTTATTTTTTGATTAAAACCAAAACCAAACCAAATTTAATCGGTTTTTAAAATTCAAAACCAAAACCAAACCAAACCAAAAAGTATCGGTTTTTTTGGTCGGTCTGGTTTGGTTTTCGGTTTGGTTCGATTTTTCAGATTTTTATGAACACCCCTACTTCTGAGTTAACCTTGTATACGGGTGAAACCGGGGTAACATATAACCCGATTTTGTCAGTGGGTCAAACCAAGCGAAGACATGACTGCATGAGATCGGAATTGAAGTCGGGGACTTCTCGTACTAATTAGGCCCGATCGGAGTGTTCGTCACCGGGCCTAATAAGACAACACTCACCGAACCCAGAACGAGATCCAAAACCTCGGAAAGCACTACAAATGGTTGCACACGACTAACAGAAAGCCGTCATATCCGTACCCAACCGGATATCACGACGCGAATCTTGCCCGACATCGGTAATAAATCAGTAATTGACGAGAAAGGAAGATTTTTTTTTACCTTGTTTAGAGTTGTACTAGGTAGGGTTGTGCACGGATCAGATTTAGCACATTTCGGATTTCGAATTCTAGAAAATGCAATCGGAATCCGATCCGAATTATATCGGATCGGATCGAATTTCGGATCGTATTATTATGCCTCAAAGTTGCAAACTAATATGTATATTTCTTTGTAAAAGAGGCAATACAAAAAGAAAAATTCATGTTTATGCAATTATGAGAGTACTATGGTCCCACTATAGCTAAATCCAGCAATTGTAAAGGTAATAGCTTGGAGGAAGATGTAAAGGAAGTACTGACTATCCGAAATTAAAGTGTAGTATTTATATATGCCCTAATAATTTCGGATTTCGGATCGGATCGATTAAAATATACCAATCCGAATCCGATCTAAAATTCAAAATTTTAACCAACACAATCCGAAATCCGAAATCCGAAATTGAATGGATCGGTTTGGATTTCGGATAGCCGATCCGAATGAACAATCCTAGTACTAGGGATGAAATTCTCCTACTATATAAAGGGGAAGTTTTTCCATTCAATGGACATAGTAACACACATACCAAGGCAATATAAAATTATTTTTCTGCTTGCTAGCTATTGGAAAGTCTCTACTTTATTTTTGTTCTCTGTTTTCGATTGGTCTCGGAACCAAGACTTAACCGAGGGCAGAAAGTATCGCCCAATCCAGGTTCAAACTAGGCCATAATGCCACGACTGGTTTGATTATTTATAAATTTTTAACTCATTTACTTAACGTTCTTGATTATTTGTGCTGAATTAATCCACATATCTTTAAAACCACGTTTAAATTCAATTGTTATCCATTTTAAGAGTAAACAAACCTCAAACAATAAACACTACATTTTTTGTGATTAACAAAATATTCTTTTAAATGGAATCTAAATAAACTTAACTAGTTCTAAATGCTTCGAGTTTGTGCAAAAATAAAAAGAATCTTTCTCAAATCTCCACAAGCTGAGAACATTTTCACCAACTATTTAGAGAAGTAATAATTATTTCTTGCTTAATCACTTTGCTTATTTTTCAAAAGCACAGCGCACTCCCAAATGAGCGTTTATATATCTAGTTTGTGATTGTTACATGGCAAGTGACAATTATTTGTGGTCATGGTAGTTGGACTTCATTGCAAACCACACGAAGTAGGCGGCAATATTATGTAAAGTTCCCTTCACTACATACGAAAAGTCGCATTATGCGGAGCAGATTCTTTATAAAATTGTTTTACAAAGTGAAAAACAAGCGGTATTTGGTGTAATGCTCCAAAATACAAGGGAATATGACTCCAACTATTTGAGAGACTCAATTGTGTAGGTTTGTATGAAGTTGCTAAAAATTGAGTTTTCGAACTCAATCTTTTTAATTTTTCGCCAACTACAAGTCATTGTCATTTGGAACCATCTAGAATGGACCAGCTCTAATCTCGTACTCCATGTGAATCAGTGACTTCAATTAGACCGGACCACCTAACTAATGTAACATGTGCACTATAACCATGATAGAGCAAATGTTATCAATATTCTATCTAGATTCATTCAATATTTCAAGTGCTTATACCTATTAACCAATTATGTTTCAGAAGTACGTAACTACGCAAGGTGTATGAATATTAATGAATTTATGGGCATATGTGGAATCACAACCCATAGTTCTTAAGGTTTGATGTTACAGCCTTGCTTGATTAATTTTCTACCTTATAAAATATCACTCCTTTGAATGGGCTCATAGATGGGAACCATTCCCACTTCCCACCGTCACATTTCAAGTCTAAATTCTAAAACCATTGGTTCCCATTCTTTTGGTCCATAATTATAATGTACTATACCAGAGGGGACAACACATTAACGAAGAAAGTCATATTTCGAACTACAGTATCAATAATTGATGTTATACGTAACTTCTTGATCATTCGTCTCCAAGTGGTCTTCTTTGCTCCGAGGGGCGGATGTAGTGTAATTCCGGCGACTTCAATCGAATTCATAACTTTTGATGTGTTACATAAATTTATGCTAAAAAATTTATTAAAATTGCAATAACAAGTGGATATGAACTCATAACTTTAAAAATACAACGGGTTCAATATTAAGAATCTTAAAGACTGAATCCATAGAGTTTAAATCCTAGATCCGCCTCTGCTTGCTCCCCTGTTTATCGTAACCGAAAAAAATGTAGGGAAAACGGCAGAATAAAATTTATAACTGGCAAAATGAATATTTTTTATATACACAAAAAATATATATTTGATACATAATCAGTGTATATGGCCTAGCAAATGTAATTATTTTGGTCGAT